GATGACTAGTATAGTATATGATGACTAGTATAGTATATGACGACAAGTAAAGTATATGACGACTAGTATAGTATATGATGACTAGTATAGTATATGATGACTAGTATAGTATATGACGACTAGTATAGTATATGATGACTAGTATAGTATATGACGACTAGTATAGTATATGATGACTAGTATAGTATATGACGACAAGTAAAGTATATGATGACTAGTATAGAATATGATGGCTAGTATAGTATATGATGACTAGTATAGTATATGATGACTAGTATAGTATATGATGACTAGTATAGTATATGACGACTAGTATAGTATATGATGACTAGTATAGTATATGATGGCTAGTATAGTATATGATGACTAGTATAGTATATGATGTCAAGTATAGTATATGATGACTAGTATAGTATATGATGACTAGTAAAGTATATGATGACTAGTATAGAATATGATGACTAGTATAGTATATGTTGACTAGTATAGTATATGACGACAAGTATAGTATATGATTGCTAGTATAGTATATGATGACTAGTATAGTATATGACGACTAGTATAGTATATGATGGCTAGTATAGTATATGATGACTAGTATAGTATATGATGACTATATGTTGACAAGAATAATATATGTTGAGAAGTATGGTATTTGTTGACAGGTATGGAGTATATTGACAAGTATATTACAAAAGGTGGTAGATGTTGTCAAGATGGTTTATATTTCCAAAAGGATGGTATATATGTTGACGGCACGTTTAATATTTACAAGGATAGAATATGTTGACAAGTATAGTATAAATGTTGATATATAAATATAGTATTATTTTGACGGCATAGTTCATATTGATAAATATACTATTATGTTGACGGCATAGTTTATTTTGATAAATATATTATTATGTTGACGGCTTAGTTTTTTTTGATAAATATAATATTATGTTGACGGAATAGTTTATATTGATAAATATATCATTATGTTGATGGCATAGATAATATTGATAAATATATTATGTTGACGGCATAGTTTATATTGATAAATATAGTATTATGTTAACGGCATAGTTTATATTGATAAATATAGTATTATGTTGACGGCATAGTTTATATTGATAAATATATTATTATGTTGACGGCACAGTTTATATTGATAAATATAGTATTATGTTGACGGAAAAGTTTATATTGATAAATATAGTATTTTGGTGACGGAATAGTTTATATTGATAAATATATTATTATGTTAACGGCATAGTTTATATTGATAAATATAGTATTTTGTTGACGGCATAGTTTATATTGATAAATATATTATTATGTTGACGGCATAGTTTATATTGATAAATATAGTATTATGTTGACGGAATAGTTTATATTGATAAATATAGTATTATGTTGACGGCATAGTTTATATTGATAAATATATTATTATGTTGACGACATAGTTTATATTGATAAATATAGTATTATGTTGACGGCATAGTTCATATTGATAAATATATTATTATGTTGACGGCATAGTTTATATTGATAAATATATTATTATGTTGACGGCATAGTTTATATTGATAAATATATTATTATGTTGACAGCATAGTTTATATTGATCAATATATTATTATGTTGACGGCATAGTTTATATTGATAAATATAGTATTTTGCTGACGGCATAGTTTACATTATTATGTTGACGGCATAGTTTATATTGATAAATATATTATTATGATGACGGCATAGTTTATATTGATAAATATATTATTATGTTGACGGCATAGTTTATTTTGATAAATATAGTATTATCTTGACGGCATAGTTTATATTGATAAATATAGTATTATGTTGACGGCATAGTTTATATTGATAAATATATTTTTATGTTGACGGCATAGTGTATATTGATAAATATATTATTATGTTGACGGCATAGTTTATTTTGATAAATATAGTATTATGTTGACGGCATAGTTTATATTGATAAATATAGTATTATGTTGACGGCATAGTTTATATTGATAAATATATTATGTTGACGGCATAGTTTATATTGATAAATATATTATTATGTTGACGGCATAGTTTATATTGATAAATATAGTATTATGTTGACGGCATAGTTTATATTGATAAATATATTATTATGTTGACGGCATAGTTTATATTGATAAATATATTATCATGTTGACGGCATAGTTTATATTGATAAATATAGTATTATGTTGACGGCATAGTTTATATTATTATGTTGACGGCATAATTTATATTGATAAATATAGTATTATGTTGACGGCATAGTTTATATTGATAAATATAGTATTATGTTGACGACATAGTTTATTTTGATAAATATAGTATTATGTTGACGGAATAGTTTATATTGATAAATATAGTATTTTGCTGACGGCATAGTTTATATTGATAAATATAGTATTTTGTTGACGACATAGTTTATATTGATAAATATAGTATTATGTTGACGACATAGTTTATTTTGATAAATATAGTATTATGTTGACGGAATAGTTTATATTGATAAATATAGTATTTTGCTGACGGCATAGTTTATATTGATAAATATAGTATTTTGTTGACGACATAGTTTATATTGATAAATATAGTATTTTGTTGACGACATAGTTTATATTGAAAAATATATTATTATGTTGACGGAATAGTTTATATTGATAAATATAGTATTTTGCTGACGGAATAGTTTATATTGATAAATATAGTATTATGTTGACGACATAGTTTATTTTGATAAATATATTATTATGTTGACGGAATAGTTTATATTGATAAATATGGTATATGTAGAAATTATGATATATGTTGTGAATTATGGTTTATACTGATAAGCATAGATATCTTATTTATTCATGCATGGTTGACACGAATGTTATAAAAGGTTTTTAGTATCTGTTAACGCGTTTGACAAATATTGGCAGAATTTACTTTGCTTGAAAGCTGATATGATCTGCAATGATTCGCAGGTGTTCGACACGCTGATTGTTGCGAGAAAAGTCTTTGGCGCAAAATATGACTTTTTTAACTCAAGTTTAACTGTTAATACTATTCTGTTATCTTTTTCTGGTTGAAAATTATTTGTTAAAAAATGATCCAGTTATAATGGTCGGATCTAATTCTACGTTTTGTAGTGATAAAACATGATCAAACCCGAAATACGGCCAAATAAATCCACCTTAGTTGGTCCTAATTTCCTAACAATGGAAAGAATTCTATAACCGTAGGTTTTGTGACATCAATGCCAAGCCCATCAGATCTAGTTTGTCTTGATTTGTGTACCTGTTTTTGGCCTTTCTAGCGTATTCGAAGCGATCCCAAGAAATTTGGGGTGAGAAACATCTGAAAATCTAAAAAAAAATCCGCGTTTTAACGTATCGGTAAAACAATATATCGGATAAAAGACAAATTAAAAAGAAATAGATGGCATAAATTGTTAATATTCATCAGCTATAAATAGGTTTCAATATTGAGCCAAGTATTAAAAAAAACTTACCGATAATCAAGAATGCTCCCAGACATACACAAAATATTATATTTGTCACAGCCATAATGTTGTTTTAAATTTGGAAAATTTAAATGGTCCAATCAAAAAACAGGTAGGCCTAGTATGTTGCCAAAATCCATTGCACAATATGAGATCATCAATTAAATTGAAGGGTCGAGCCAACCCGACTTACACAGAAAATGATCTGACAAGTTTATCAGAGCGTCGCAAATTTCCCAAACGACGTGTAATTTCCGTCGTGATCGAACTACGAGTGATTTAAACAGAAATCAAAGTCTTCAGGCGTGCCAGGAATGAATGTCTCTGAATTTAAATTCTAATGATTTTTCCAAAGCCTTCCAAGATTTATGTAGACTATGGCAGCAATCGATATAGAATATAGAGGAAGGTTTAAATAATATTAGTTTTATAGTCAATAGTTGTTTTACCGAGACAAAACAACAGACCTTTCCTCGACATTGTCTTTTAGTGCCTTGAGTAATTCACCATCTTAAAGAAATTAAGTCGTCATATTTTTTTTTAAAAAAAGCTCGATGTTATCAGGTAAACTTGCGATTTCTCGGAGCAAAACACAGAAAGTACCAAGAATTCTAGAAAAATGGATTAAACTATGAATTTTGAAAGTTGGTCAATGTATCTCGATGTCCAGTGACAGACAGAGCATACACTGCTGCTGCAATAGGCTACCTCTTTACGCTTCTCTACACTGAGTAGCCTCATACGTAAATAGATCTATTATGGTCAGCTTCAATGGTACATGGGTACATACGAATGGTTTAAATAGACAGACGCGCCATTACGGGGGATTGATTTATGTATACGTAAATAGTCTTAAGAAGTACTGTCCATTTAAACCCCCATCTTATAATTATTGCGACCAATGAGTTAATAGCGTCAGTTATCGCGAAAAAGGCACTCTAAAGACCTACAAGAGTAAGACTCGAACCACTGCAATATGATTAATTAAAACTCTAGCATTTCCTTAAGTAAAGGGTTCAATGGTTTTAGCATTCAGCTACAGGGTAATGAGCACTAATAGGCCTACATATATATTATATATCTTTAACAATTTCTAGAATAGTTTTGATTTATAGGTCTAAATTAGAATATCCAGATCCAAAAAAAAAAAAAACAAACATTAACCTTCTTTATTTTTCTTTATCAAATTATTTTTATTACGCATGGGCATTTTATTGCATGGGCAATACAGTTTAGTTTTTCGGATTAACTTTTCAAGGAAGAATAGGCCAAGGGGAGATAACCATGAAAAATTAAATTACAACAAATTGAATTTCACGAAATACAGTATTGTATTTGCACCTTGATAAGTTTATTTGACTGACACAAAATTATGATTATACAATATTTAATTTTTGAACATAATACACTTTAATTGAATTGTTTTACTCGTAAAATAGATTAATTGCGTTTCGTAAAATTAAGGCGTGTATTTTTTTTAATTTCCAATATGGCAGCCTCCATGCCTGCAAATGTGGAAGTTCAATTTATAAATGAATCCAAGGTAAACAGTCGTAATATGTCTGTTTATTTAATCATGACGTTGTCTTTTGATATCAGGCAAAGAAAAACATGCACACTTTTGGTAAAGAGTGTCTTGACTGACATAAAATCAAATCATATTCAGCTTGGTGTACGTAAATTGCCAACTTACAATCATTCTCTTCGAAATCACGACTCTGTATGTCGACTTAAAGGATTCGTGTCTTTGACATAGCTGTTCTCTGTCAGTCAAAAGAAAAGCATGCCTAATCATTTCTCTAAAAATCCCCAAACATAGGATAAAAATGCAATCATATTGTTTTATGTGGTACTGATAACGTATAGATCTACTGCATGCTAAATTATTTTGACCAATGGAACATGTTTTTGCAGATATTTAAAACTAACCTGGATTTTTGATATTTTCAGGGTAGAGGTCTGTTTGCACGTCAAGAAATAAAAGAAGGGGAGGCTATCCTAGATGAGAAACCTCTAGTATCTACTCAGTTTCTATGGAATGAACTTTATAAGTATACAGCATGTGAATACTGCTTACGGTCACTGGAGACGGCCGAAGCCATGGCTAGAAGATTGACCAACAACCCAGCATTGTCACTACCTCACCCAGAATGTTGTGCTTTAGACCCATCAGAATTTGTCGTTTGTCCTCAATGTCAAGTAACTGTCAATCTAATAATTCTCTGAATCACATTTGGGCCAACACTCCCAGAAACACTGACTTGGATATTGTTCATCATTGTATTTAAATTTTTAGTACAGCATTCAGAGGACTCTTGAAGACTGCCTTTCAGAGAGTCTATCAGGATTCTCCTTGATTTCAACACGTAGGCATATCACATAAAGACATGACTGAGAATTTAAATGTTCCCTGGGCATGATAGGCAATACTGGTTCACATGGATATCATTATATTTATCAATAATATATTTTTTCCATGATATATTTTACTTGTGAAGGAAATGTGGTTACTATTTACAAGTTTGTATTCATTTTAGATTCTATTTGATTATCTTCTGTTAGGTTTCAAACAAGGCATGTTTCTTAGCAAGTGGATAACATTGTCCACTGTGTCATTCAGTCATAAAACTGCAGCTTTGATTAGAAATATCTTGGATAAAATTGATACAATGAATATATTTTGTAGGTATTGTATTGTAGTGAAGAATGTCGGAAAGCATCCTGGGATAGATATCATCAAATTTTATGTTTAGGTTCTTCACATCACGATTCAGATCATCCGTTACTACGACTACAGGAAATATGGAGGTTGGTTAATAGATATGTTATACTTTTTCTTGACCATATAGGGCCGTATGGATTCACCACGGCTGTAATAGTTAATTAACTTGGTACCTTTGATACCATTACAAACTCGGTAAAACAGGGACAAATTTATACGTTTACCTTTAGTTTGGTGGTTTTAGTGGAATTGCAAGACCCACAGACATCAGACTGAAATGGGAATGGTGTAAATTGATGTTATCAGTGTCCCTGATACACATAAAAATTTTGGTTTTGTATTTGACAAACATCACCTCCAAAACATTTCCCAGAACTGTCATGCCCCAATCAACAGTGGAACTTTTCTAATTGTTGCTTTCTTAAAGGGTTTGTGAAGAGGTTTTCTTGAAATTTTGGGTATAATGGACAGGGTATAGCTCAGATTTTCACCTTTCCAATTTTCAATCAGAAAACCTCTTTCTAACCTTTTAACTATGTATACAATAGAATGTTATATTATCAGAAATATCCACTACCCTCCAGAGACAGCTAGTATAATGTTAATATGTAAAATGATAGCAATGGTAAAACAGGCTGAGGATCCTGGTCATGTCATTACCATCTTTAATAAGTTCGTTAATAATACTGTTAACGAAGAAGAACAGATTGCTCATAAATTATTAGGAGATCAGTTTAAGGTAAGTTTGGTTTTTTATTTTGGGACAGATTGGGTTACAAAGGTTGTTATATATCAATGTTATCTTACAGAGTGTATTACAAAAACAGATATCTTAATCAATGTCTTAATTCCTGTTAATTCAGAAAAAATAAACCAGATTATACTAAAATTAGTATGTTACATAATCAAAAAGGTCAGGTTTTTTCTTGAATTACAAAAACCACAGACTTCAGACAGGACATCAGATTGGAGCTAATAGAATCTAAAACGTTTTCCACTACTTGAAAATTCATATATTTTTTTCCATCCCTAAAGATTTGATCTATAAGAGTGGTAGAAATCTATGTTTTACATAAAGTCTTTGAATGGCATTTAGCAATTGTGTGTACGATATATAGACATAGCTTTATAGAACAACAATCACTGGTTAAAAATTTTGTTGTTCCATAAAGCTGTGTCTATACATGTTTTACATAATTGAACAAACTATTAAAGTACATCTGGAATTATGCTTTTGTGACTGAACAGTGTTTTTTAAATCACTTGTATTAAACTTAGAGATTGACTAATTTGACTTTATTTTTTTGATGTTTCAGTGTCAGTTAGAATTATTACGATCAACTACAGCAGAAATTTTATTTGATGAATCTATACCACAGGTAGGTGGAGCTATTTTCTTTTTCATCATAATGTTAAATGACTAACTGATATGTTCCTATCAGCCTATTGGCACAATTTCTAATGATAAAAACTAATTGAGAAATAATAAACGATATTATCGTTATTTTTTCAAACATTTTTGCTGGGTTGAAACATAGTCTTAATGGCACAATTCTTGACAGATGAGGTTGAAACTTGAGAGTTAGTATTTTGCCTTTATTTATTTCAGTGGTTTACTCCAGAAGGTTTCCAGTCTTTATTTGCTCTAATTGGAACGAATGGACAGGGTATAGGATCCTGGTTAGTTCTTTCCTATATTTATTTCTTCATCGATATTAAATTCTTTCTGTTGTTTAGTCATGGTGGCATTGATCAGTCCAAAATGCTTTAAACAGCTTCTTTGGTGCAGAAAAGTAGGATGTAAAACTCCATTCATTTCATTTCATTTAAACAGCTTCTTATGAATTTCTATAATACAATCTCAGTGTTTTGTTGAATTTATTTTCTACAGGTTACTGTACTTGACAACCATGATCTGACAAAATTTTTCAATAAATGAAGTTCATTGGCTTTTGATTCAATAGCATCAAACCTTGTCCAAATTTATGCTATCCATCATTGATTATTAAAAGTAGACTGATGTTCAAGGAAATGTCAAAATTCTTCATACAAGGGGTTCAAACAATCTGAAATTGAGCCCTAAAATTTTGTAAGGCAATATTAAGACTACTGTATGTCTTCAATATGATGTTTTCTAGCTCTATCAGTGTATGGGTGAAGAATTGTGAAGATTTAGAGTTACCGGAAGATAAAAAAACAGAGTTAGATGATTTTATAGATCAGATGTATGAAGAATTAGAAAAAGGTATCCTGGTTATTTCTTCTCCTTTAATTTCTTTTTTAAAAAATAGCAAGAAAGATGGTGTTGACTACATTGGGTACGGACATGCCTTGTTTGAACTAGGATTATCCTATTAGTTTTGTGTTAGATGTTGATGAGAACATAGTATTGTGAAAGCACTGGCCTAGGTCACAAAGTAAAGATTTATGATAAAACAAGGTGCAAGTTAAAGGAGAAGATAATTAGATATGTTAACTAAGGATGTCTCTTTAATACTATCTGTGGTAGTATCATTTCTTTAGCTATTGTGTATACCTGAGGGTGAAATGCATCCTAATTTGTCTGAACCTTGAACCCTGTCTTGACTATGATTGGCTGTGCAAAATATTTACCTTTACAGTATAGACTACATATATATTGACAAGAGCTCATCTCAAACAGCCAACAAGTGCAGTGGAAATGAATCAGTACATGCTACATGTAATTTCAAGTTTCACTTGATTATTTATCTTGATGAATGAATGTCAAGTAGCAAAAAAAATTGTTTAACTTTACGACAACTTCATGTTTGTTAGATTTAAGATTCTAACTAGCTTGCCTTTATTTGATACACTTCAATCTAAACCCTGTTCAAAGAAAGTTCCAGTCACCTTCTGAGTTATTTATACATTTGAGAGTAAGATGTATTGTTATTTTTATTTCAGAATCTGGATCATTTTTAAACTGTGAAGGATCTGGGTTATATGAGCTAACCAGTAGCTGTAAGTAGACATTATTTTATTATCAGATATCTATATTGATTAAACATTGATTGAATGGCCTGCTATGTTTGTGTGCATGTGCTCTATGTCGAAACCATAGGCCAGGGAGGCTTTATCTCAAAGAAATAGAATTAATTTATATATATATGTTTTTATCCAGGTAACCATAGTTGTGATCCAAATGCAGGAATAACATTTCCCCACAATAATCATGTTTTAACATTGGTAGCTTTAAAACCTATACAACCTGAAGAGGTAGGTAGCCATCTTGTTAGATCAAACAGATCTTGAATCATGTTGTTACTCAGAGTTTCATGCTATGCGATCTTTAGACAACTGACCTATTTTCAGCCTGGGTCCCTACCGAAGTTGGACAAGTAGATCTTATTTTCTTATATAAACATTTAGAGATCTAAGACACCTGGTTGGGAAGTTATATCATAGATTCCTATTTTTTACAAAAAAAATTCATATTACAGGATTTTAAATGGTTGATTTTTAGCAATCTGTATAGTCCTTTCTGAATTGAAATTGTAGCGGACATTGAGGCTATTTAAGTCGGGTAAAGGATCAATTCTTGCCAAATTGAGACTGGATTTGTCACATGTTTTGTTTTTTATCTTCAGGAAATATATATTAGTTATATCAGTGAATGTGAAATGAGCCGGAGTCGTCATTCTAGACAGAAAATATTACGGTGAGTTGAGAGTGGAAATGTGCATTTAGTAATTGACAAACTGTATGGATAACAATTAGTGTTACATTGTTAAACAAAGGAGTAATTGTTATCCATGAAGTTTGTTGTGTTAGTAAAAATGTTTGGAAACAAAAAACATGTCCTAATAATCTGATATGCAAAACGAAATCTGAATACCATAATACAAGTTTGTCAATACATGGTAGCAGCTAATGGACTATTCATATGAGGAGATATACCAACCATGATAAGGAGATATTTTATAAATAACAGGAGCGACCAGATAATCCTGTCTCCTATTATATGATAATAAATATTGCATTTTGATATAGAGACATTAGTCTTAGAATTAAACAAAACCATTATGTCAATAATTAGTCTCCAGTTTTCAGGCCTTTCACCCTAAAAATTTGAAAAAAAATAGTTAAATTTTACCTCATCTTTTATAAGGAGAATTATTATGTCAAAAATGGTCCAATTGATAATTCTTCCTTTAATGAGAATATTGAATTAATCATATTTTATTACCACAAGAATTGACCAAGTTTTTTTTTTGTCAGAAAAGGCCCAATTGTTCATTATTAAGAATATAAAGATTAGGGTGGTTGAAAGGTAACAAGTTTCTATCCAACAGAAGGCACTGGCACAGGGTTAAAGTCATGTTCATGAATGTTAAGTTAATATGTTAGAATGGAAATTCGTATTTGTAGTCCAAAGATACTAAAAAAACAAAAAACTGATACTTTAATTCTTGCACTGAAATTATAAATTGATGATTTATTAAAGAAATTTAAAAATACCAAATACCCATTGAAAGAAATCCAAATGCTAGATGGACTCAATGAAATAAACGAAATAAAATAATAACCAGAGTCAGTCATATTTTTGACCTCATTTTAATTTCAGAGAGAATTATTTATTTACTTGTCGATGTAGAAAATGTGATTTTGAGGCTGATGAACCAGATGTCACGTCAGAGGAAGAAATGGATTCTGGTGACGAGGATGGATCTGAGAAAATGGATAATTTATGATCAATAAATCTTTTTAGCACAATTTTTTATATTTTTGTCTTTGGGAGAATGGATGGGCTATATTTGTCAGTTATGCTTTTATGTCATAGGGCCATATCTAGTCAATTTGATAAGATTGAATGTGCTTTAGGTACAAGTAGATAAGACGAGTTTGCACAGTTTGCTAGATAAAGCTAAGATTCCATATACGCGTCATGCGTCATCGTCATGCGTTAAAAATCGAAAGGTTTGGTTTAAGAGGTTATGATTCCATATTTGCGGAAGCGGTATCCGTCAAAAAGTCCCTGTCAAATAGTCTCTGTCATGCTTCAAAACAAAATCGCCTGGTATAGCGATTTTTGACGCATCCGCATGCCTTTCCGCACGGAGATCTCCCAAATATGACGTATTTTATGTCTTTTTTATGCACCAAAGCATCCATCTGTCTAGAAGTCTGTGCATCAAAAGAAAGATAACGCATTCGTTTAACGCACATATGGAATCATATTTGACGCATGGCAGATCCACAAGGGCCATTTATGTTCGCATAACGCTATTTGGAATCTTAGCTTTAGGGTTCCAAAAGTCTGGTCTTTTTTAGGTCCATTAGACATATACTATTTGAAGTCAGAGATGCCGGTTCAGGGAAGTGACTTGAGGAGATAGTATATGGATGGAATTACATGTGCTTAAGGTACATCTAGACAAGACCACTTGACAGTTGAAAATAAAAATATTGCCCCATTTTCAAATTTCTCTTTATTTGCATATGCAATACAATTACTGGCCCAATACTACTTAGTGGACTATAATCTATGCTCAATCTTTTGTAACATCTGAGGCCACTCTGCAAATACAACACCACTGGTTGATAGCTAAGCTTGATATTTCAAATATATGGGACACTGTAGCATTCTAACCAGAGAAAAATGCTGTTGTGCCAATTCTCAATCTGTCTGTTGGACACTATATTATTTCGCTTAACTATAGTGATACATCATGGTTGATGATCTCAAGCTTTTCACGTTGATTCATGTCTGTTTATTCAAGCCATTACACTGAAGATTAATCTCGGAAATGTGATACGAAATAGATTTTCTTAATTATTGTAAGCAAACGAAGCCGGGAGATTTTTTTGTTTTTCTGCCAAGTGAACACGAAATTATTTTGATGATGCAATGTTATAACCTACAACTTCAACTTTCAACTTTGACCTCATAATTTAACTTTGACCCCAAGTTTCAACCAATCGGATAACACGACCTTTATTTTTGTGACCTTGATTCCAGCAAAGTACCATATCCGGTGAATTTTACGGCAGATTTTTGGCAAAATATTGCTTCGTTGGCACCACTTGCAGGAAGAATCAAAGAAAGAAGTATTTCAGGTAATATTTGAAAATTATTTTTACGTGACACATTAAATTTGCACGAATTTTGGTTGAAAAGTCAATTTATTATAGCTGCAAGAAAATATGAAGCGTGGAATATGAACAAATTGCAGGGGTTCGAAGCATTTGAATTGCGAATTTTATAGTCCGAAAACTGTATTATATACATGCGAGTCATTTGCTGGTACAAAAACTAAGCTTTAAAAAATTCAAACAACTCAATATGCTGTCTGTCATTTGCAAGGAAGTTTTTCACGTCTTACAAACAATAAAAAAATGATATATAAGCTTATATTTGCTTCATGATTAACATATTGCAAAGTAATTTTAATGGATAATTAAATTTGAAAAGAAAAATATAATTGAATACTACTGATTGCCCACAGTATTGTTTACCAGTAATATTTGTAGAAAATATCAAAGACTGCATATTATTTATTAGTATACATGTAGCCAGCAATTTTCATTTCAATTTGACAATAGGGCTGGTAAAATGATAAAATTACAATTTCAATTATCGATTATCAAATTTCATAATCGAATACATGTCAAAGTTTTCATTCTCTTAGCAAATAGTAATCTCTTCCACATAGATTCCCATTCAACACATAACATACCGTACCCACAATAAGACATAATAAGCAATCAAAGCAAGAATATACTTCTATGACGCAAAAAATAACCCATGGCATTAAAAATTTTGCATGTTTTTAAACTAAAGGGACTGGTGTGACATTTTGCGGGGTTGATTTTAGTCTTGAATATCAGCCCCAGTCGACAGTACTCCAACAAGATACTATATCTAGACCAACTTTTGATTTAAAATATTGATTTAACAAGGTAAGTAAATGAGGGCATTTAAATATTTCTGGTGTTGTGTATTCCTATTTATTTATTATATGATAGAAAGAAGATGAAATGATGACCTTCCAAACCAGTGTCTGGTGAAGCGAGTTGGTAGCATAATGACATGCTATAGGGCACAGTTACACCCCACTATTAGGGCTGGGAGCAGGGTTGTAGCTGAAGTGCTGGCTAAAATTAACATGAGTGTAATACACGAAGCTAACAGAGGTATCAACTTACAGCTGGGGACTAGGTTTCTGTGATACAAGCTATTTTCAATGTTATTTACACCTTGAGAAATGCTGATTGTGTTAAAATTTTGCATATTTTGCATTCAATAATTGTACACACATCTGTGTGTCAGTCAGCGGTGCTGTATTTTCATGTTAGTGCTGGTAGGGTCAAGCCGACGACTGCCGACAACCCCAGCTGAGCCATATTGGTTCTAATGGACTTCATTATCATTTTCATTAATATTTCCCAATATGGGTATATATATATTATAGTATATTTCATGCTAATTACCAATATTTCTGTATTTTAAGTGAGGCAGTATTAATGATATAATAATATGAATTCCTATACCAGTAATTATCAACATACTTGTATATCACCGAACCCACTACAAACTTTATTAAATAACACAATTTTAAACAACAATAATTGTAAATTTTCAATATTTGGCATGTCTTTTAAATATTTATGAAGCCAATGGACAGTAATGCTAAAGATATGGATGATGATAGAGCAGTTCACACCTGTTACTAAAGAGTTTCAATTAATAATATACAGAGAGAGACAATAGATAGTATGGGTGATAAAAACTAAATGGTTGGACTTTTGAATAGAAAAGTTTTTTGAAATTGTCAGAGAGTGGCACCAGGTGTTACTGAACTGAAAGAGCCCACAAAGTCAAAGTTCACTGGGGATTTGGTTGAATTTAGGCCTATGTGTATTGTATAGCTTGAGTATATAATTTCAATTCTTTAGGACAAATCATACCACTGAGTTTTATACCTCCACAAAGATACCCAATGGCTGCAAAAGAACCAATAGGTTTCATGAAGGCTTTTGAGTGGATATGTTACTGTGAACTCTGCCTCGATTATGAGAGAAACTCCACTTTGGGAATAGGGTGCCCTTCAATATTACAGGAGCTTTTTCTGTTGACTATTCTTTTTCGATCTACATTCTCTATTTCGATCGGTGGAAAGAGCATTGAATTGTAAGTAATTTCACTAAACAACCTAAAAACATCATATGAAGTGACCTATATTAGGTGTTTCAATAAATGTGACCTGATCTATCCCTAATAGTTATATATTCATAACTGGTTTAAATTACATTGTCAAGAAATACAATACAGGAAATATTTACAGATCAAAATAAACAAAAATAATTGCATATAAGTCATTGATATGAAAATCACTGTATGTTATTACTCAAGTAATTCATTTCTGTCTTTTGAATTTCATGCTTGCTTAAAATCTAAAAGGAATTTTGAAAATGTGAAAACATTAATTTGTCTCTGATTTCGGATTAACGACATCGATGACATATGTCGCAGAGTTGTGGTCTGGGTCCAAGTGTGATGAAATATCAAGTCCCTGTGTTTATTTATAGTACGACCCCGGAAGTCGACTCACAAAGTTGTCAGACAAGTTTTGTCGTCGATCTACTTTGCTTGTTCTCTCGTCTTCAAAGGATTTTTTTATAGCTCAAAGACCGAAAAACAACATTTGAACATCGTGTCGGGGTTGTAGATAATGCCAGTGATAGCCCCTAGGGACATGAATGGATATGATTATGACCGAGGACCTTTGAGAACTAACGCAATGGCCAAACCCAGATACGACCCGTATCGAGATGATTTTCATCAGGGCGAAAGGGTGGACCCTTACCGCCGTGACGATGACGAGATTTATAATAGAGGCCAAAACAGACACAGATTTGGTGGTGACTTCATTGAACAAGGGATTGACATGAGAAACACAAGTGACCCCACATTTGAACTTGACCACCTGGCTACATTTGCAGCTTGGACACGAGATGGCTTTATTCAGCCAGAAGATGGATTACTCAAATTACGACAAATGGAAAACACGACTGGTATTTGGACTATGAGATGTCTTTTGGTAGTTGAAAAGAAATTCTTGATTATTTTGGATAACCAGTCTGGCGAGGAGTTAGAGAAATTTCCCATTCAATTTGTCCAGTCGCCAACAGCCATTTTTAATAACGACACACGAGAGATCTACAACAACTTACTTCTGTTTACAGTTGGTGAGGATCCTAAAAGACGTACTCAGGCTGATATGCACATTTTCCAAAGTGTGGACACAGCATCGCAGAAAATAGTGGATGAAATTTTACTGGCACAGAAAGGTGAACCCAGAGGACAAAGAATACCTCCTGCCCCAATGCAGGCACCACCCAGACCTTCAGAGAGAGACATGTATGACTTTAATGGAATGAAAGATTACCTAACTTCACAAAGAGGAAGCAGATATTATGGTCCTGGGCCTGATGCTAATCGATCAATGAAAGTGAATCGTGCCTACAGAGAAGAGTTTGAACCAGGACAGAATGAGGTTCTGGAGCGAGATGTGCAATTATTAAACCATTGTTTTGATGATATTGAGAAATTCGTTTCCCGACTTCAGCAGGCAGCTGAAACTTTTAAAGAATTGGAGAAAAGAAAGGCAGGTAATGCTCGAGACAGAAAACGTCAGTCAGGAGAAGGTATCATGGGATACAGAGCCAGACCTCCACCAAGTCAAGATTTTAGCGATATCTTCCAAAAATTCAAATTATCTTTCAACTTGTTGGCAAAATTAAAGGCTCACATCCATGATCCAAATGCTCCTGAATTAGTGCATTTCCTGTTCACTCCATTGAGTCTGATTTACGAAGCCAGCCGAGATCCAGTTCATGGGCGAGTCAACTTAGCAGACAGTGCTGTCGCTCCTTTAATTACTGCTGATGCTAAACAGCTCTTGCAGAATTGTTTGACTTCCAAGGAAATAGAATTATGGCGTGCCCTTGGAAATTACTGGACCACATGTAAAGAAGAATGGAAAGGACATATACCAAGTTACACTCCAAGATTTTACGATGGTTGGCAGCCAAACCAGATCCATGAAAATGGTTTCAGAAATTCAGAAATAGATGCACCGATAAAACATCGCTATGAAGACGACCGTTCACTTACTTATGTACCTTTCTCACATGAAAGAGAAGATAGATATGGTAACTATGGTGATTACCGACAACCCAGGGATTTCGAGCCGCCGAGAACTCATGCCGTTGTGGCGCCACCAAGCCCACGTTTAGCACCAAGAGAATATCGTGACAACAGAATGGAACCTCATCATAGCCATAATAGTCCTGAAAATGACAATGCCAAATATATATCAGATCTTCGTAATTCTGGTCACAAAGTGTTTGAAGTGATTCATGATCGAGAAGGCAGGAATAGCAAGGAAGTTTCTCTCAGCAAAGGGGATATAGTGGCAGTGTTGGATGATAGCAGAAATTGGTGGAAGGTGAGGAATATTGCTGGAAAAGTTGGTTTTGCTCCGTATACAATATTGAAGGAAGTAAAGGATGATTAAAAATAAGAATTTTTATAGAAGAATTTTGTGAAATGGATTAAAAAATAAATATATGGATTGTACAATTTTATTAAAGTTGTGATTTATTTGCAATAAAAACAAATCTGCTGAATTTTTAAAGGTTAAATTATGTGTAGAAATTTGAAGTAAATTTTTTGGATTTACTGTGAAATTGGATAAATTGTATCAGTTGTGAGAAGTGGAGTTCAAAGATGTTTTTCTGGTGTTTGTGTTGATTTTAGGGTAAGAATTGATGACCTTGGTGTTGATACAAGTAAACAATTCACCTGTCGTCAAGTTTTAGTCGTCATGTTGGACATTGACGCGTCATAAAGTTAACAATTTATGTCAATACCAAGTATCTTCCCGAAGTTATTTAAAGTGTGTTTACCTGAATTCTCATCAGAAATATCATGATGATTTGTTGGTCTTTTTAAATAGGTAACTGAACACAGGCAATGATTATTGGATTCCCCTTGTGAATCAATTCTTTACTTTAGAGGGATTCTCTGTCTATTATTCTGCATTGTAAATGGATTCTTGAAAGTCAAATATATTTAACTTTATCAATTGCATATCTTGTATTGTGGCCTTCAAAATCACCAACATAACATGTATTTCTAATCTACTCTTACCATTCATCAACGGGGGAAACAGTAAATTTTTAGACACAAAATTTAAAGGGAAATATTTCTCATAATGAAAAGAATAATGGCGTTATTTTATTGTTTCCTCGTTATTCTAAAGAATAAAACGGAAAATGTAATTATGAATTAATTGTCGAAATTTAGTATATTTGCTAAGCTGAGCTAAGCTTACTTGTCAAAGATATAGGAAATATTTAAAGATATGCACACTTTTAGACAAACATGTTATTTACATTTCTAATATATAAAAATCTTATGTAAATATTTCAACAGATTATGTTAATTTTGTGAATTTAGAAATAAACTTCTGTACATATTTAATCCCATTATCATAATATTTAATATTCATATGAGAAATTAAATCATTTTGTTAGAAATTTCATAACTTTAATATTTTGTAACTGAATAAGCTTAAAATTTAAAATTGGTCATTGGTCATTGATATTCCCAGAATTATGAAAGTTATGATGTTCTGATAACCAGCCTGAACTATCAGTATGGCCTTTGTCATTATTAACTGATCTATGTACATGTGATATATTGTCAGGTGCTCTTTATATTTTGCTTTGATCTTTCTTTTCTCTTTTATCACTTGATATTCAACATTCTAGAAGTCATATGCGGGAGAAATCATATATGCAGTATGTGTATGAAACATAATTTTTGTGATACATTTTGGCTTTTGTAAATTCAAAGATTTTTCAGAATGCTAGTCAAATATCTTAAGGATGTGTAAATGTAATCTTATACTTCATTTAAGATGATTCAGGTATATTCAAGAATAGGTGAAAAAATACCCAATAAAAGCTAACAGCAATTTCATCAGGTGATAAAATTAGTGAAATTTTGAAATACATGGGTGTGTACAGCTAATGTGATCAAAAGTTTCTAAGAATTTGATATAAAGTAATTTGAAGATAATATAAGGATGGGTTTTGTCTCCTACAGTCCTGTCTAATTTATGGTCTGAATGACAGGTGATAAGAGAGAAAATATGAAAGATATTTGTATTGTTTAATATAGACTTTATTAGATATTTATACAGGGCACTGTAGGTTATGATAATCATAATTATGCTGGTGACTCACACCTGGTTGAAAAAAATTACAATTTAACTAAGATTAAAATTATATATAAATTATTTATTTAGATATTAATATTTTGAAAAGATAATGATCATGTGAAATTATTTTGAACGATGAATTGCATACTATAGTCTTTGTTGCATGTTCAATATGTTCAATATGTTCAAGATGTAATAACTAGCTTAGTCTTCTCTTTATACTGTCTAATATCTTTAAGATGCTTCAAACCTATTTGGTTAGGTAAAAGTGGTTGTAACAACAACATATAATTGAAGTTACGAAAGCACAGGTCGAGGTGAAAATTCAGTTACATTTTTAAGGTGGCACTGGCACATTGATAATCTTGGGTGATAATTTACATTTTGACATCATACGCTTTGTCATTCTAGTTCAAAATAAGCATCAAATTTGTTACTTGAAAATATAAATTTCCTTTTGTTTATAGAAAATTTGACCGAGTTCTAATATTTTTATATCTGTTCTCATACTACGCAATCAAAAAGTGAAAACTTGATTAACATGGTGATTCATGATCAACCTCGGAACTTAAATGTTGAATTATTTAACGTGTGAAGTCAGGCAAGGTAATAAGAGAAAGGTTTAAATTAATTAATTAACTTGCCAGCTAATTAAAATCTTTACTCTCAATTTCATTGTTTTCTTGTGTCAAAGGCAAGTTCTCCTTTTGTGCATGGGAATTTCATACTTTTAGCATTTCATAATTTAAGCAAGGGCGTTGTCCGTATTTTTTTAATTTTAACAATTCAGATCTTCCCAACTACTTTGATCAATATCTGAATATATTTTTTTCAATGAAGTGGATTGTGCAATAATTACAGCTAGGCGTTGTCAAGATATTATTATTTTTAAAGGATTTCGAAATCAAGATTGAGCCGTAGTTTTTTCAGTTATTCAATTTTATAAAAAAGGAAATGATTTTATATTTAGAATAAGGTGCAATATTTTACATGTATTTGGTTGTATCTATTGTAAAATAAATTTCATTCCGTACTGTCAAAAGATTATGGCCAAAATAACCTATAGTGCCCTGTTAATATTAACATATATTTAAATCTAGGTCATCTGTGGATATAATAAGCCACTATAATATAGTATATGACAATGTTTGAATATGAGTATTATTTTATAGCTCTATACACCCTTTATACATAATATAATATGTTGATATAATATCTTAAATTTGCTCATTATACCTATTGCACTGAAGAAAATTAGGGCATATTGTTAATAACTTTTCCAGTTTTCCTTGTAGAAATTCCTTGTTTTGCTTTGAAATTTTCACAAGTATTCAGTTAAAAATCACAAAAAAATTTGCGCTGTCATGGACAGTAAAGATCTATAATATTCTAATATCAGTAATATCTGTCAGTAAGCTTATATGAATGAAAACATCTAGAAAGCAAACTGTCAAAACAGTAGTTTCACTTGTATTGTGAGAGAATCTGTGATGTTGAGATTGACAAGTGGTACAATACAGCTAGCTGAAATAAAGCTGTATCAGGTAGTATTACAGCAAATATTTCAACAACAATATTCCTGTAATGTTTATAACAAACGCTGTATGTGACTATGTGCTTATTAAAATGAAACTTTTTACATTTTCTCATTCATGATTCTCCAATGTGCATTTGGTTTTAGTTAATTCATGTTTAAAACATATTTTTTTGTATGTATGTTTGTTTATTCCTATAAATATTTTTCATCTTTTTGAGTTGTGAGTAATATATATAATATGATATAATATAATATTGTTGTGAATAAAGAATTGTAGATATTTTTGTAAGAAATTATGTACATAAAATATAGAATAATGATCTATTGTGACTATTGTTGTATATTTATATCACTTGTTTCTGGAATTTAGTCCAAAATGTGCATTATTCAATTATTACTGATTTGTTTGGCTTATTTATCAGTCCTCTGGGCTTGTTATTTCTTTTGCTGACAACACTTTTATGATGTAGGGCCTATCTTGTAACCATTCTCTATTGTGTATCTATTTAAGAGGAAGTGTCAATGCATAAATTCATGTCCAAGATATATTTTCCAAATTACACACAAATATTTTAAGAATGATGAAATATTCTTCTATGGACTAATTCCCAAAATATTTGAAAGTTTAAGTGGACATGGATTTCATCAACTGATTTGATCTTGTTATAAGAGTCCTGGTTGATATCTTACTCTTTCTTGGTGTGTGCATGCATTGCTTGGTAAATGAGATTAGAAAACAAGTGATATATTTGTAAACTATGTGCTATTCTATTGTAAATTATATCAATCTTGATTATTTATCAACCAACTATATTCTACAAGAAAGAAAATATTTATCTTTACTAATACAATATTAGACTCATTATTTCATTGATTCAATATTTAATTACTGTGTGTCATACAGTACACGTCCCCTGTTTCTTATTCATATTTTGATCAACTGCATTATGTCAATCTGTTTCAAATCTCAGAAGGAAGTTTTCGTCTTAGCCAAGGCCAAGCTGTTTTCTAAAAAAATGGTACATTGAAGTGTATACGTCAAATCAGAGTCTTTAACAGAAAGTCTTTAAACAATAAGCCATAATGTTAACAGACTTTCTGTCATGGACTATGAAGAATATTGCCAAGGGAAAGATGTCTCCCAACCCTAGAAAATGGTTCACACTGACTGACTTTCAAGCTTCTAGTCCTCAAAATCCCCTGTTCAAGGCAAGCTAGACTTTTCTAATCAGTACTACTCACATTACCTTAAAAAAAATAAACTTGAGTGATTGTCATTACGGATTGATTCAGACAATTGTGAACAAATATCTTTGGTGGAAAAAAATAGCATTCATGTATCCCTGATATGGTCTAAAATGAGCAGTAGTAACTATGGCGTTACGAGATGTCAACCGTCCTGATGATGTATCAGTAGGAAATGAACATGTGTCACTCAGACGTAGGGGAAGCTGCCAAAGCAGAAACAAATAGTTGTACAATGTACATTAATATGGCATTTAGATACTGGGTATTCAGATTTTGTACATGGGAAATGACTCAATACAGGGAAAGATCTGGTTAAGTAAAAACATCATTTTGACATGTGAAAACATATTTTGGGGAAATCATCTTGTAAACAAGGCATACATAAGTAAACATTGTACGAAATATCTTGTAAATCTAGCCTGTACAATGACCTAGTTTTTTGTGGTCAGAATGAAATAAAATTTGACGAATTATTTTCTGAAATTTTATGATAATTATATGACCT